AAAAAATGCTGTTGTATCAACAGGATTGGTGAACAGCACCATGACTGGAGTAAATTAATAAGGATATTATTATTATTAAATCTTGAATTTATAATAGTAATATTGTTCAAACCAACTCTCGATTTATTATGTGTTAGTTTCAATAATATTGCTGTCGAGTTAAAAAATTTACTCCAATTATGGCACCTGTTATAATATAGAATTTCTTCCTGTATGTATATACGTATATACAGACTCCTCCCTTCAACGTAATAGCTTTAACACATGAATTTATTTCGTTTTCACTTGAAAAACTAGAGATTCTTAGTTTGTCTTATGTTATATATGTTATATATATATTTATGTTTTATTATAACTCGAAAATCGTTAGAAATATTGAGATGAAACCTTTTGTAACTTGTTCAGTGTGTTATCTACATGGTTATGTTAGGTTAGATAAGAGAGATCATTACTCGGATTTGTCCAGATGCCCTGGAAATTGGATAATTCCATTACTCTCTCGAAAACGCGAGAATATTTCCAAATGTAAGATGAAACCTTTATTTTTAAGATTTCAAAAGAAACTTTTTCTTAAGCGATTTCAAAAACACACTCTTAATAAATAATTACAAAGTGCAAAATAAAAAACTTAGAAAACATTAAATTGCCTTCAAAAACCTCATAAGTCCTAAAAAGTATATGAGAAATAATTTCAAATCAATATTCTCCTATGTCCGTATATTCCTACAATTCTATTCTAATATTCTAATGATATTAGAAAATTACACAAATTACATAGGTGATTAATTATATAACTGTAGAAAGATAAATAATAAAAAAAGAGACATATGATTATTGACTCAGTCAGGTTTTCATGCCGACTTCTAATACCATTAGAATATTAGGGCAAGATTATATAAGTACATAGAAATATTGATTAAAAATTAGTTCACACTTTTTGTGGAACTTTGGAGGTTTTTGAAGGCGATTCACTTTAGAATTTTCCATAAGGGATACATTGCGCGCTTCAGAAAGATGTAACTTTACTTGCTGAGGAGCTATTATGTTGTCTGTGTGCACGTTGAAGAAAACAACATCCACGAGAGAGCGACATCGCGAAGTAAGAGCGTCGTCGGGTCTGCAGCGCGAGGGGCACGCGTGTACGTGGGGAGTCGCGGTGGTCGACGGGAAAATGATAAAGGCGTTTTGCCTCGAGAACCGGGTTGTTTGCACATTTTTACTTAACGAAATTCAATTGAGTTAACGATCGCACCTGTACGTCCCTTTCTCTCCGCCAACGGAACACCGTCGACATTCTGGCAGCTGTGGCGTATAAGGGACCAACATATATCCCCCTGGTTGCTGATGCTGGTACGTGTATGCGTGCACGTACAGGTGGAAGGCACGATCATGTGGCCGCTGCTGCTGCCTCCTCCTTCCTCTCCTCCTCTCGTCCGGGCTTCTGCCTTTGTTGCGATTTTTCATCCGCTTCTTAGCGACACGAATCGGCGAGAATCGATCGCATTGTACACATTCCGGGCGACATTAACGAGAACGCTCGGGTCTTCGTGTGTGAGATTCGCGCTCGAAATTAGAATTTCCTCGTGTTGCCACGACGAGCCCACCTCTCGTTCCCGGCTCCGACGAGCTCGCCGATGAATTCGATCGCTGTGATTAGTCTATTATTCGCGACGGCTCGGAGGAGCCTTTAAAAACCGAGCCGCGTTGCGCACTATAAGCTAACTTAACACTTTTTGCCATCTGCCCCATGTCGGGCATATGCTGCAGGGATAACATCGAAAATGATCCGAAACAGGTATGAGAGAGCGATGGAGCGGAAAAGGAGAGCGCAGAAGAGACGAGCGAAACGGGCTCTAAGCTCCCGGCACTCGCTACCCGGCTGTCGGCAGTCACCTGTTTATTTCTTCCAAATCAAAGTAATATCACGGTTGCCACATTTCCCCGATAGTCGTTGAATTTTCCTGCAGAAGGAATAAATATTGCGGTGACGAAAGGCACGTGCTGGAACGGCGATTACGACCTTGTACGTCTCTGCGATCATTATTTTACCGCGGAGAAGTTTTTTCCTCCTGGATATTCCCAATATTTCTTTGCGATATCGCTTTAGTACCGACAAAAATACTTGAACGTTTATTTGTGGAGTATAAAGTTTATTTCTGTGAAATAAAATGTATTTCTCTACGAATATTTATGTCATAAATAATTTTTTTCAGTGTACAGTTTTACGGTCAATATTAATGTTTCATAACGCAGTATAAGTCACGCAAATCTATATTAACCAGTTGCATCATTAGAATAAAAAATATGTCTACATCACTGAATTTTTTCTCATTAGATCGATACCTAATGTACACTGGAAGAAAAAATATCTGAGAAATAAGAATTATTTATTTCGATGCATACTAACAACATATTTACTTAAATATCTACATTCTTTTGATTAAATAGAATAAACAAATGGTTTTCTGAGAAGCAACGATATCTTAGAAAATTATACATATTTTTCCATAGAAAGAAATTTGTTCTCTCAATGTAAAAATACATATATTAGTGCAATTAAATATGTTATTAGTTATCGAATAAACATTTCTTATTTTTTACATATATTTTCTGTCAGCGCAATGAAATAGATAAAAAACACGTAATTTTTGTGACTCGATCCATTTTCTCTAAGAAATCGCGATTTGAATAACTTTTTCCCACACACTCAAATAAGTAAATAGAAAATGAACAAGTATGTGTCCGTTTAAAAAAAATAATAGCACTCAATTCAAATAGATTAACACTTCCAGTATCACTATTTTGTATTTACCTACTAAGGTCTTCGTGGAAAGCATTGAAAGTGTGGAAATATGCTTCACTAGACATTCGACGTGATGAACACGTGCTTTTGACACTCTTGGTCCACTCACCCGCTCACCCATTCACCGTCGATACTTGCATTCCGCACGCTCGCAAAAATCACGAGCTATCGTATGTCGGATCGTCGTGTCCGCGATCATTTAATCCGATAACGATATCGCGTCCCCCGTCGAGCCCCGTCGATTTCCGGCAAGCGATTCCGCCTAACAATCCGGATTCCATTGTAACCACCGTAGGTGGAAACCCCCCGTAGCCGTGGCGGACCGCGGGGGTGCGACGCGGGGCAGGCAGGACATTCAGGCAGGTCCTGATTTATGAACGAAATCTCGAGTAAACGCTCGTTTCCGCGCTCTGCCGGGCGTGAAATGACTCTGGGCGAGTTCTCGGCCGCGATGGGGGTCGGTACGCGACGCGACAGCCGAGACCGAGGCCGTACACACGTACGGTCGGTGTGCGTGCACAGTTTCGGTCCTCGGTGGACCGGAAGTGCCGGCAGGAGAACGCCGGCCGATGACGTTTATGATTTCACCTGACGGGCCGCTTAGTCACCTCGACGCTTCCGCTCGTTTCTGGCGAATTGTATTCCTAATAAATTGTATCGATCCTCCCTCCCCTCATCCCGTTGTATTACCGCACAATGGCGCTTCCTGAACAATAAATAACGCAACATCGGAAACGTGAGAAGATAAGATGAAGAAGAACAAAACAGGACAGTATCGTTTTTCGTTTTCCTCGGGAATTAATGAGCGATTTAAACGACACGGTAACGTTTAACGTGCCGCATACGAGATCGTAGTGATACGCGATATTAAACATGCGAGATTAATAGCGTGTGACTTGTTGGTAATTAGTGACGTAACGTCGAGTGAGCGCCGCAAGAAAGTTAACATCGACGCGCTCTGCCCATTTTAATGTCGATAATGTGTGTGTGTGTGTGTGTGTGTGCGTGTGTGTGTGTGTGTGTATGTGTGTACACACGCGCTTACCGTTGTCTGCAGCAAACGAGATCATTTTGGCGACCGGTATAGCGAGAGAATTACGTACGCGTTTGAGTTTCGGCGAAGCCGGAAGCTCGTTCCCGTCACAATCAACGACGTGCACATTCTCTCGGGACCGTCGCGACGTGGGCGCGGCCGGCGACTCCGAAAACATCGTAACTGACGATCACGTCGGGGCTTTTCCACTTGGAAAAGTAAGCTCGACAAATTGTGAGCGGCGTTCTTTTTCGAAAAATAAAACGCACACAGGCCGGCAATATGTGGTAGTGGAATCGTCCAATTGCTAAATCGCGTGGGCAAATCGGAATAATGACAATCGACTAATCCAAGAACCGTGTAAATAATATACTGAACAAGTTACAAAATGTTTCATCTCAATATCTCTAACAATTTTCCAGTTGTAAGACACACGCAAACAAACATATACCTACAGGACAGACTGAATACTTCCTCTTTTTTGAAGTCGGTTAAAAAAATATTAGTACAACGTATCAAGGTTGTTATCTCTTGTGATTTACTGTTAGTTTCGCTCGTGTTAGATGTCGAACTTTGTGATAAACAAAATGTCGTAGAAACTATAATTAAGTTAACAATAATTAATTTGATAATAAATTAATTTTATAATACAGCACTTGTTAGTTGTCCAATATAATACCCTCTTTCATAAGAGTTCGAATTATTATACATTTGCGAGAAAAACAATAGTTTGTCGTTTTATCCGCGCTCCCTCCCCTTACCTCTCTTTCTCCTACGATCGCGCTCCCGACGTCGTAGTCGTCTACGCTTACGTAAAGATAACGGTGCACCATTTACCAAGACGAGGTCAGAGGTCACCTTATAAATTAAGCTTTTATTACGGCCGGCTCCGTCGCTAGCGAACGAAAAGTCTTTTATTCCTTCGATAGTTCCCCGCTCGGTTTTTCATCCGCCTGCGATCGAATGTAAGCTGCTGCAAGCAGACGAGGAACGCTGTGGCGAGTTAAGACAGGAAGAAGATCGACGAGGGGTCCCAAGGAAACAACGAGAGAGAGAGAGAGAGAGAGAGAGAGAGAGAGAGAGAGAGAGAGAGGGAGAGAGAGAGAGAGAGAGAGAAAGAGAGGAAAAGAGAAAGAGGAGAGGAGGGGAAGAAAAAGACCAGGATAGAGAAAGAGTAAACCAGCTTATCTGTTCCCCCGCGATTTTTGCTAATTAACTTGGCCGCAGACACCGCTGCACAAGAGAAGATTAGCTCGTTGCTCCCGAAAGATACCGGAGAAGCGCTCTTCGCCGGTATTCGAAGATAACGTTTTCCGTTCTCGCACGCCAATCCTACGCGCGTCCAATGAGATCGACATTGATCGTTTTATCAAGTAGTGAATTATATTCGCGATAAAAAATATGTCTATTTTATTCAATATACAGAATATTTTATTAAATATACAGAATAAATTAGTATAATAGAGTATAAAATGACTTTTCTAGCGCACTTCAAGTGGAACAAACATTTTTAACCAAAAAACACAAAAAAATCATACTCTACCTCACAAAATCAAGAAAAAAAGTAGCAAAAATTTCAAAATCAAGAAAAAAGTAGCAAAAATTCCTAAAAATCTTCTAATTCACTTATTATCCAAAAATCTTAAAATAAAGCAATATCATCCCAAAATCAACTACATTTTAACAAAAAAATTTTCAAAAACTCAATTTTCCAAAACTCAAAATTTTTAACGTTTGCTCCACTTCAAGTGGAGCAAGCATTTTCGGTTCAAAAGTAGCTGAAAAGAGATACAAACACTTCAAAATTAACAAAGAAAACTGAATTACATACTACTTCACTGCTTGGTGCTTTGTTGATATTTCTGGCGTACTTCAAATGAGGCAAGCATTTGCAACGAAAAACGCCCTAACCTCAAAAAATAGCAAACAAAATTCAAACAAAGCTAACGGAATTTAGCTCGCGGCGCGAGATAGGTTTAAAAAATATACATTTTTTAAACTTTAAGAAAAGCTTAGATTTTCGTAAAAACAATTATTTTTTCTATTTAAATGAAAGAATTTCAATTTAAGCAAATATGTTTTATTAGCATATCCATTAAATAAATATTTACTATTTTTTAGATATTTTCTTTCTTTCAGTGTAGAGTAATTTCGAAGATCTGAAGATTATGTATGTTTGTGTCTTCTACTTTGGAGATATTCCAAGTGGCAATAGTTACTGACTCACCCTGTATATTAAAAAAATATATTTCGTTATGTTTTGTACTTTTTACCTCACGCTTTTGTCGGGCGCGACGCGTTCACGACTCGCCGATTCTGTGAGATAAAATTGCATGTCCTAGAGAAGATCCCTCTTTTTCTCGTTGGGGTTGTAGAGTAAAAGCTACATCCCTGATAGATGCACTCTCGCTGCCAGGAATCGCACGCTGCGCTTTAACGATACGGATTTATCGTCCCTGTTAGTATCGGGCATAGACAGTGTGGTCGGGTCAACTCTTCTCTTTTCTTTTCCCGCCGTTAAAGAGACAAAGTATCCTCGCGTGCACACGCGCACGCACATGCGTAAGCACACGCATACAGCCGCGACGCGGTTGAAAATTAACAGCGTATCTACAACTGGCTTATTTACAGTGCCTACTGTAATGCGCACCGATAATTACCGAACACCGCGATAGTCATTGTCTGAAGAGCAGGCGGGGGAGGGCAGGGAGGGAGAGTAAGAAAAAGGCGAAGTGATAAATAATGCGCGATACGGCGACGATAAAGAGGCTCTTACATAGATGAATACGACGGAAGTGTTTTACATTCGGAGCCCGAGCGCACATTCCAACGACGTTTGTCTCCCCATGTAATTAGTCCGACAAGTAAATCGTTTCTGAGAAACCGTACCACGTGCCTTTCGTCTTATTCCTCTTTCCTCTTATCACTTCCTTGGAATTTTATACCACTGCAGAAAGAAGAAAAGAAGAAAAATTACACACACACATATACACTGATCGCAAGGTATTATTGTCCCGTCGATTTTCATCGATGCTGCAATTTCGTGTCTTTGAACTTTGGTAACTTTGTTTCTCTTTTCTGATTCAACATGCATTCGATTGCTGAGAGGTTTACACGTTTTTTATTGAATAAAGCTGCAATGATTTGAGTTGTCACAGTTAAGAGCTACTGCTGATGTCGATATGTAGTCGAACACAGTCAGTCAAAGTGGTAGTACAAGGTGTGAAAAGTCGAGTTGAAATTTTGATGCTTTTCGACATTGAAGCCAGATCTTCAATATGCTGTTTCTTGTTTTCTGTCTTTTTCTGGCTTAAAGCTTAAAGTTTGAGTCAGAAAGAGATAAAGAGAAAGAAAGCAAAGAGCATATTGTAGATCAGGGTTAATATTCTGTTTGATTTTCTATTTGATATTTGATCTCCTAGCTTTGCCGAGAGGCAAAAAAACGCATACAGACATACTTGCCTTCATTAGAACCTACACGTTGTATTGTGTGTTTCCTGCCGCTTAGAAGCGCTAAATAGGACTTTAGTCCTCATGTATATTAAAACAAAAAAAAATCGTTACAAATAAATTACAACAAAAGCGCGCTCAGTTAAAAGATATTTAAAAAAATATTAAAACAACCTTATTCAGATTAATTGTACTCTCGCGAATACTCTATTGAAAAATACAAGACAATTTTATACTCTCTACAAAAATAATGATATCAAGAGGTTTACGCCAAGTGCGAATAATTAATCATTTCAGTTTTTACTTTTGTAAACATATGTGGTTTTGGCTATATAATAAATTTATAAATTAAATATATTATTAATATGTTAGTAATATATTATTAAATAAAAAATAAAATAATTAGAGAAATATAATAATGTTGAAAAAAATTATAATAACTTACACAAAAAGCACTTGGCGTACCTTTTTTTATAGGCAAACGGTTCCCTTATTTTAATGACTATCAAAATATTATATTAATTATTGATGTAATTATCGTGCTGCTCATACCTCATCTACAGGCAGCAGTGTGTGAGTGACGTGTCATCGTGTGCGAGTCACACGGATATACAGACGGCATTAACATCGGTGCGTGTGCAACTAAACGTAGCACACGGCTTCCAAATTTTCAACATTTGTATGAATTTCTCAATATAACACGATTCTTTGCTTTTTTAAAAGGAAAAATACATGAAATATATGAACATATTTTTTATTGATGAATTGGTGTGACAGAAATATTTTTCGTACGCACGCATGCACGCACGCGCGTAATTAATGTATTTTTTTTTGTATTTATTATATTTCAATTATTATTTCATAATTAATGTATTTATTATATTTCAATTTTACTTATTTTTTTATTTTATTTTATGATTTTAATAGTTATGACGGCTACTTCTCAATATTAATTAACTACTTAATATTATTTCGGTAACGGTCTTATCAGCTTTAATATTGCGATTAACATTCATGTCAAGTTACGCAAATCTTTAACTAATTATAATGCGTTCGTGTCGTAAACCTTGAGTTTCTTATCATCACTGAAGAGGGTTCATAGTTGAGCCGAAACGTATGATTATTTTATATTGATTATTCATGTTCAATAAATATTACACGATTTCCTAACACAAGGAAGGTTTTTAATCCATATAGTATATAGCACCATTAGTCCTGTGCTTGAACTCGAATTGCCCTTTTTTCCTATTTTTTGATTGATATCTTCGTTTGCGAGTTCTTATTTCTTTCTCTAAATATTTTCTTTGTGAATAACTTTTTAACAAACAATGAGTGTCAGTTAAAATTTTTTAAATGTTATTCAGTAGCAGACCCCTTCCTAGCCTACAAATTCGATATTTTTGTATATACGGTGTCCAAAAATTACATCCATTTTATGCAACTTCTTTTGTTAATAACTTTTTAACGAACAACGACTGATGGCTAAAACTTCCTGAATGTCACTCAGGAAGATGTCCTTGATAATATATATCAAAGTCATCGAAGGTAGATCCCCTAAACTCCACTATTACTCATGATCTTGTTAAAATGAATATCAATTATCTTCAAGAAGAACGTTTTCTTTGTATAGATAAAACTATTTCTGGTCATTCATTTGTTTTATTTTTACAGGGTATATTAGCACAAGCACTGTGGACACTTAGAAAACGTTCGAAAGTAAACTAAATTTATGGAGTGCCATATATAGCGTTGCCATTAGCCACACTGATATCTGTGCAGAACAATATTCGAATGCTGATAAAAAGGAAAGAGGCCAAATTATATGGCACAATGAAGCTGATTAATGAAGGTGTATATTTACCTCGTGTCAATTGTATAATCATTGAGGACGTTATCACGAGTGGTAGCAGCATCCTAGAGACCACGAATTTTAAGGAACAGTTAAATGTGACGCACTGATGATAATAGATAAAGAGCAAGGCGACTGATAACAACCTGGAAAGTCATGGTCGCGGCTCCAAGCTTAGAGGCACGACCGTCACTTTTGAGACCCGCCGCGCGGCAAGGGGGAGATAGAAGGCGTAGCTCCTGAGAATCGGCCGAAAGGAGCAAAATATGCCAAGCTCTGATATAAAATGATCCTTCAGGATATGTAAAGAAAGTCATAAAGTTCAGGATGAAAATTTTAACTTGGGAGAATATTATTTGGAAACAATTTTTATATATTTCATATTAAACTAAGATAACGCACAACAGTGCATTGATTGCATGTCAGCAGTGGTTCTCAAAATGGAGGCAACTTGTAGCGCTTTATTCAATGAAAAGCATGCAAACCGCTTGCGACCGAGAATACGCTCGCAGCCAGATAGGCTGCGATTTTCTTCACGAGTTCTGAAAAATCTAGATTTAAATAAATATGTTATTAGTGTCCACCGAATAAATATTTATTGCTCTTTTAAATATTCTCTTCTCTCGGTACAAAGTAACTTCGAAGATCTAAAGATCACCTTCGTTTCTTGTTTCGAAAATATGCCAGGTGACAATAGTTATTGACTCATCCTGTAGATTAAAACATATTTCATTATATACTTTGCACCGCACTTCTGTCGGCATCCGGACAAGACGTGTGCGTTGCAGAATTGATAGAAACAAAAGGAGACAACTGGCCACAACTGTACAATGTAAAGACTGGACTCAGCTGCACCGTGTTGCACGTATCCAGATTACGTGTCGTTATATTACAGCTCATAATCGCGTCCCTCCCTTCCACCTATCCTTTTCCGCGACTATTTTCTCTCGATTAGAGGCCGCGCGCGTCAGGTGCGCCGGGCCTATGCGGTTTCTAGTCGCATCGGGATTTAATGACCGGTATAATTGACGTCACGGTGCACGCACGGGTGTCTAAGTGGTCGGAACCGACGCGTCGGGGGGCTTTATCGTGAATAGGGGGAGAGAAGGGGAGACGCGAGGAAACGGATTTTTCGACGAGAGCTTCTCGCGCGGTTCAAAGGTCCGATTGATAATGCACGCTTGGCTCGTTCACTCACTCGCTCGCTCGGCCGACATCAGTACACACTCGCGGGATAACAATGCGCTAGCGTTTGTATTTATGTTGAAAATGGGCGCGTGTCTCGTCTCGGGTTTTATTTTTGCGCGCTATCTTTCTCGCGCGCTTTCCTGCGCGCGAAAAGAGCACGACTGCATGCTATCCAGTCCCGCCGCGCGGGGCGTAATCGATACGTATAGTCGTGCTTCTCTTCTACAATGCTGCTCGCACAATGTTTATAGTAAAAGTGCATCGCGCAGCCTGTTCTGCCTCGCCGCGACCCGTACTGCGCTTTCTGCGCTGTAATTAATCATTCGCTTGAAAGACGCGAGTCATAACACGTTGTTGTCTGAGTGACCGATTTATCAAGCGCGACCTGCGGAAATGCGCGACAACAGCTCGTATGCAGATTCACTTTGCGTCGACTCCTGCGATTCGATTTTTCGTAAACAATCCCGAAATCGCCGAACGCCTTGCGAACACGCTCAAAATTTTATTTTGATGAGTGAACGCGAGATAGAGAAGTAATTTTAGTTTGATTATAAATAGACGCGAAATTATGCTTTTATTTTTCTAATGAATGTAATGATTTTATAATTTATTTTATAGTTTGGATTGAATACACAAGCAGGTGTAGAAGAGACGAACGCGAATGTGTCGAAAGCAGTTGTAACTTTATCGATGACCGGTAAACCGGACAATGGCGTTGTTGAGTTTGCTTACTCGCAGTAGCAGTTTTAGGAGATGAAGAATTTCTTTTTTAACTCAATCGGTAATGTAATTCTCATTCATTATCATTGTGTTTCTTCTGGCTTTATATCTTCTCAATCGATAAAGTCATGCATACATATGTACTGTTAAGAAAGAAATTTTTCGTTTCATCGCGATGTATATGTATTGTGCATAGTATTATCGATTTCACGAACTGAAATAACAAACATAAGTATGTAACAATAATAAATTATATCGTATAAATTACGATAAAGCAATAATGTAAAAAGTCGTGTGCGCGCGCGAGAGAAAGAGAGAATTATACTATTTTTTATTAAATTTTAATTTAAAGTTTTAATTTATTGTAATTTAAGAGTTTAATAAAATTTGGTATTTTTACACTGAGGGAAAAATTACCTTAAAATCAACAGTATTTCTTTGATAGATGCCATTAGCATATTTATTTAAAATTAAATTCTCTTTATTTAAACCAAATATTGTTTACTTAAATCAGGTAAACAATATTTGATTTAAATAAAGAGAATTTAGATTTAAATAAATATATTAATGGCATCTATCAAAGAAATATTTTTTTATTTTAATTTTTTCCTCAGTGTATCCAGTTTCAGATTGTCAGGGATTAAATGTGGGACGAAAAGTACAAATAAATCTTGTCGAATAATCATACGAATATTGTCGTGACGACTACGTATGACGAATTTTATTACTTTCCTTGAATATGACACAAACACAAGCCGTGTTGTGTCGAATATACTTGACGAGAATAGTTTCATTTGGCTTGATACCGTCGTGATACACGCGTTGTGTCGAATATACTTGACAAGAATAGTTTTACTTAGACTGATATCGTCGTGATACACGCGTTATTGGAAATTTATTGCATAACATATTTATTTCATGATAAGGTCTAATTGCATTACGTAAATTGCGTTCATAGAATTAAAGAGTCGCGAGTTTGACTCGAATTAAAATCAAGGAAAGAATAAGAATATTATATTTGTTTGTTATATTTGCTTCATACTGATTCAATGATCAAAAAAGCCAAAAAGGATGTTATATCCCTTTTGGACTCAGAAGAGGACAAGGATCATTCCATCAGCACAAGTATGTTTTCCTTAGTTCTTCCGTAAGATGGAAATTCAAGATCAATTTGACAATCTTATGTCATGTGATTGCGCATTTTGTACAATTTTTTCTTATAAAATTCTTCTTCCATCGACAACGCGAAATTTGATCATACAATGTGGAATTTTCAAAAAATTACTTTTTTCATTTATATAAAAATTGGTGACTTGTGTAAAGAATTGGGCCGTTCGAGTGAAAGATTTTCTCGACAAATGGTTCATCTTCGTCGTTTTTTATTTAGAGTTAGCTGCTCAAGAGCAGAGGCAAAAGTTACTGAATCAGACCGCTATGCTGAGAACTTACGTCTCCGTATTGGAGAACAGACTCGAAACTCTCAAATTCGGACAATTGCGATTGCCGAAGCCATCGCACAACAACAAAGCCGCGACACACCGCAATGTGCCGGACGTATGGATGGAATTGCGACGCGATTTGTACAGGTTTGCGGGAATACAGTGCGTGAAATGCAAAGGTAGTTTCGTCTTCGTAATGTCTAGCACGGATGACGTCCCAAGCAGCGATTTATACACGGTGGAGATTTTGATAGACGAACACGGCTGCGGAAAATTGGGAAGGTGGATACTACCAATGTCCGTCGACGTGCAAGAGATACTGTCGCAACATCCGATCGATAATCTGAATAATGTGAGGCAGTTCTTGAAAAGTTGCAAACAGCACGTGGATTGCTATACCTATCGCGTGAAACAGCTGGAGGAGCTGAAGGTGATTAATGCGAAAGCGTGCGTGCGTGAAACTCGAGATTAAATGTTCGCGAAATGTACATTACATCCTTATTACACATTTTTGTGTACAATCAAAAAATATAATCTTATCTCTAGCGAAATCCTCTTATATGTGGCTTGAAGAGATTTCTTCTAAAATCAAGAGAAAAATATTCGAAGCTCAGTATCCTAAAAGGAATAAATTGTCAGTCTAAGTCTTGCTAAGAAATGAGTTAATAAATTTCGTTAGAAATACAGCAAATTATTTAATGGCACATTTCAATTCCTAAAATATAAATAGCACATGTAAAACAAAAAGATAATTAATTAATGCAAAATGTCGATCTATATCTCGAAATTCTATAGTGATTTTGATCACAAAATTTTCTTCATACTTATTAATCTTCATGCTTCACTTTTATAACGCATTTTCTTTTGAATGTAAAAAAGCATATTAATTTACGCAATATTTTTCCGTAAATTAATCAATAAACACGAGAAAAGTTTTTTTATTGAATAAATAAACAATTTTACGTTCCAAGCTGTCGATTAACCACGATTGTCGATAGGTAGTTTAGCACCCTGCTCACTTATTAATAAATTAATTATAAGATGATAAGATTCTCTTATTTCACTTTTCAGAACTTTGTCGCTGGGCTTAAGAACGGTCGCGTGTTTCACACCATCGGGATCGCTCAGATCGAACTGGTAATGTTAGAAGTGAAAGACATCGCGAACGACGCGGTTCATAATGTTACATTGTACTTGCGTTACAACTCTGCCGAAGTGAGACCCTACAAGTTGCTCCCGGATACGGACGATAACGAAAGGCCGTCGGCGGATTTGCTTAAAAGATTAAAGAAACATTTCAAGCCTTTCTTGAAGAATGATCTGATTTCCGCGTTTCAGCAGGTCTCTGGATCGCAAACTGAATTCCTATGGAAACCAATCGCAGTGGAAACGGGCGAAATTAATTTAAACATCTCTGGTGAGTCACTTGAAAACGCAGGATTCTTGTCCACTTATTTTCATCGAGATCAGAAAGGAACGAAAAAGAGACAGAAAAAGAGTAGAAATAATGAACAAAATAAGAGCGTTTCGCGAGATAATGAGACGGAGATGTCGCTTTGCGTTAAAGGTGAACAGGATTCTGATGTCGAAGAGAATAATAAAAAGCAGGACGCCTTTCCGAGAGACGATAAAAAAGTCAAGCCACGCAAACACCAACAATCAGCGAAAACAACAATGAAATTGCATGGCGCGAAGAAGTCGCTGAATGACTCGAGGAAATTTGACGGAGAAATTGCGAATGTGGAGAAAAGCAACGTCGCGGACGAGAAGAAGAAATCTGAACCAAAGTTTACGAGCGCAACGCGTCGCACTCAGCAACGTAAACATTCGAAGAAACGTCAAATGGATACAGAGAACGCGCAGATTGAGGATAATACCTTATCAAAAGACAAAAATAATCACGACAATAAAAAGAACTCGCCGAGAAAAGTGGGCGCTAAATGCAGAACGGAGGCGCGGAACCGAAGATCGTCTACAAAATCGGATACGGATAGCGAGAGCGCGAAGAGTCCTCGAAGAGCGCGAAAGCAAAAGAAGGCAATTATACCGATCGACGAAAGAGACAAAGAGGACCACACCATCACGAATCCGAATAAGCAGGATTGGAAAGCGCGAGTGAACGTGAGCAGTAGCACTCCTTTTACGAAGAAATTACCCGACAAACGGAAGTTCTTTCACGCTAGTCGCATCAGTGACATTTTACAATAAGATTAAACAGATTCTGTGAACAAAAATTAAGACATTAAGTGATCACAAAGGGCAAACGTGACTTGACGAATCTGTAGCTGTTGAAAGTCTTTAAAGAAAAATACACTGAGGAGAAAAATATCTAAGAAATATTTATTCAGTAGAAATATACTAACTGATTGTTACCTAACACATTTCTACTTATTTTTTATAAAATATTTTTAAATAAGAAAATATACAATTTTTTTAAACCTTGCTGTTCATGTAATTGTTTATTCTATTGCAATATAATTGTTTATTCTATTTATTCTATTTATTTTCTAAAATTACTCTATTTAATTTTATCCTATTTAAGTAAAATTATTTTAATTTAAGTCAATATGTTATTAGTATCCACCAAATAACTATTTTTTATTTTTTAGATATTATTTCTCCCAGTATATGCGTTATAGAATATAAGAGATTTGTACACGCTCAGTAAGTGAGAATAATTGTATTTACAAAAGAAGGCACATTCTTATTCACGTTTTACGCATAGCATGCGCGATCCACAAACGTAAGCGTCTATAAAGTGTTAATTTCTCGGATGGTTCTTCCTGCTGTCTCATAAAATTTAATAATACTTCGTCCATGGACGGTTGATTGATCGAAAAGTCTGTTATCCATACGTATCTCTGTCTCAACTTTCCCAGTTTGTCAAACACGTAGCTGTACGAAACGTCACTCTCGAGTTCATACTTAATAACACCCTGTAAATGTCAGATAAAAACAGATCTGCTCTTCTTTTGTGACTACGCAATCTTCAATTTTTATATCTTACAATATATTTTATAATTGTTTCATTTTATATATTTCTCCAATGCAGAGTGTAATCTCTTTTGTAATAAATTCGATTTGTCTCTTCAGAGATTTAATATCACAAATTATGGCATATGTATGTTTGTGCATATTCTACCTAAACATACGACAAACATATTCTACCTAAAATATTCTATTTATATCTATAAAAAATGTTGGTTGAAATTATATCCTGTTTACCAAGTAGCTTTCTTTGAACTTTATCGACGGGAATGTCTCATCGATGATTTTCTTCATCTTCTCCAGGTTTTCAAGCTGAAAGCCTGGGATTACTTTGATAGTCATTATAAAGTTGCGACCGTGTTTTGCCTTTAGATCCTCGCAAGATCCAATTGCGGTAAACTGGCCATTGACCAAAATTCCAACGCGTAGGCACATTGCTTCCGCTTCTCTCATGCTAATATTTGTAAGAGAAATTTCTAAGAAATTAATTCTAATGTTTGTTATCTTTGTTATCAGACTTATTAACCTGTCCGTAGTGACCAGTACGGTTCTCCCCATCTCCCGTATTTCCTGCAAGATTTCGCAAAGAGCATGCTTGGTCATTATATCGATTCCAGCGGAAGGTTCGTCCATCAACACCATTGGCAAGTCGCCAATCAGGCTTTGCAAAATGCAAATTTTCCTTTGAATTCCCCAGGGACAGTTCGCGATTTTTAAATTCTCGAAGTTCAACATATCTGTTAATTTAATATTAGTATGTTCTTACTTCATTAATTGAAAGAACGTAATAAGCGAGACATGCCACAACGGATTGTTTCGAAAAAAATGGAAAGTTTAAAAAAATTTTAATCCATTTTCGTTTTATGTCACCTAAAATATCCAGCCACTTGTCCACTTCGTTATTGATATGTCTGTATGGAACACCGCGAAGTGCAGCGTGAAGTTGCAAATATTGTCTTCCAGTCATAAAGTCACTTAACCCACCGGTTTGTGGACAATATCCTATCATACCTATAAACTTAAAAGTATTTTTTTGAGTAAGAAAGCTCGGATATTCGCGACACTGACAGCTATAGTTAGCCTGATTTAAAAAATAAGATATAAAACGTACTTCCAAGAAAAACTCATTTAAATATACATTAAAAATGTAATACAAGTAATAATAAATTAATAAAACATAATAAGAGATATTATAAAATATATTATTATATAATAAAAAATAAAATAAAAATAATTAATTTATACTAACAATAATATATAAATTAAATATTTCTCCTTAAAAATGAAAAAAAAATTTCTCCGGACATGATGACATGATTTTACCATATTGTTTTTAAGGATAATTCAACGTGGAAAAAACAACACTAAGTAATTATTTATATCTCGATATTCTCTATGGTTCTTTGAGTCGGGCGGAATTTCTGGAGTTAGTGTGGAGCCAAAATTTTGCCTAGATTATGTCGCTCACCATTTCGCGATTTTTCGTCAATTCGTAATCGTACATCACCGCTCTTCCGGCCGACATTTTCGTCTGATCCGTCAGCATTTTATATATCGTCGACTTTCCCGCTCCGTTGAATCCCAACAAGCCGAAACACTCTTGATTATGGATCTATATATAAATGTTTCTGAACGGAAATGTTTCTGACATACGACTGAAAGTTTCTGCTCAATTTAGGCGATCGCACTTACACTGAAACTGACTCCTCGAACTACCGCTTTCCCGGCGTACTCTTTTCTCAAGTTTTGAACAACGAGTGCGACTTGCGGCGGGAGTGACTTTGTTTCGTCGAAATCTAAACGAAAAAAAGAGAAAGAGAGACGAAATAAAATCCTTCTACCGAAAACGATTTTGTGCTTATCGAGCTTGTAATTCTCGCTTTCAAAGCGCGATGTAACATTAGACAATGTTGTTAGATAGTTTCTCTTTTATATCATATTTTACGTTTCATATATTCTTCAATGCGGCCTTTCTCCTCCATGACTTCCGGTTCAACGTTATCATCGTCATTCGCAGGAGGCGCGGAATAACTGTTCCACTTTCTGCGATTTTTCTGCTCGAAAATCTCTAGCAATATATGAAAGGCGAATATTTGGGATATCATTAAAAATATATCGTCTATGACCGAGTGATGATACTCAGTGCCAGCAGATTGCTTCATCAGCATCACGTTCAACGGTTTATAACAACGCTCGCCTTTGCAATTCTCTAAAATGTCCCATAATCGTCTCATTGAAATGATTTACCGCGCGAACCGATTCATCTATTACGACCAAGATTATCTTCGCGACTGAACTCACGGCAACAAGAATCTTCGATGTAAAATTCCGTGTCGCAGGTATTGAAATAGCTGCACTGTCTGTTATACAGATTCAGCATGATATAATTGCGCAAGGCACAAGCCAAGACGTACGGCGGAAACATGTGTGCGAGCGCTTCGAGCACGTATCTTCCACCGCTGCTGAACATGCGAAACACCAGCGGGAATATGACAGACCCGTTTACCAATAAAACTGCGAAGAATATTTTATATTTTAATCACTATACATTCGTGCGTACGATTAAGCCATTTGCATATGAAGTGGATATATTTGTTCATTTCGCCTGACCGTTATCGCACGGAAGCGGATATATTCGCGCGTAATGGAGACTAGATCGAATTACATAAATTACGTTTTCCACTACATTACACGTCGTCATGAAGAACATAAATTCAGTAACATGGGAATATTTTTCAAATCTCCTCCAATAATGCAAACGGATTAAATAAAACATTATTCTGACAGTAAAACTATATAAGAGTGGTCATGGAGTTAACGAGGTGGTTAAGTTACTAACTCACTATCACGTTGATCATTATCACTGTCAGATACACGTTTTCCGGTTTACGTGTAAAAAGCTGTATGCAGTAACTCAACGGAATGGCGCATCCTCCGTAACACAGAAATATCATCAGTATCTGAACTGAAAATATGAGTTAACCCGACCCGAAATTTTGACCACAATATTCCATTCAATGCATTTATTTTGGCACTCTAAAGCCTATATCAATACTTTTTATTCTATTTAAAATACTGACTTTGTGCTGACAAATAAACCTACCCAAAAGTTACACTCTGATTTCTTTCTAATTTGGCACAAATGTAGAGACAAATGAGAAGTACAAAAAATACTTAGGTCACATTTTTTCACTTTAGCCCACTTTGAGTTTTACGGGTAGTTTATAGCTTTTTAAATTTATAGCTTTTTCTTGCTCCTATCATCAAGTGCAACAAAAAAGTATAAGAAATAAAATTAAATACAAGATATAGGCATTTTTGGTTTGCTGCTTATGAATATGAAGTCAAAGGTGTAAAACCATTTATGTAAATAATAAAATGTTTAAACAAAACATGTAAGAAGTTGAAAAAAATTATTTATACAAATAATTTCTCAGTTTAGCCGAGATTCGAACCATTTTTTATTAATTTAGCAGAGATTTCAAATATTTTGGTTGAAATCTTGGTTAAAGAAATTTTGAATGGTTCATATCTCAGCTATGCCAATTTTGTTAAAATTCTTTAACTATATCTTGTATTCAATTTTATTTCTTATGTATTTTTGTGGTACTTATTGGTGATAGGAGTAAGAAGATTAAAAAGCTATAAACTACCCGTGAAACTCAAAGTGGGCCAAAAATGAATATATATGACTTAAATATTTTTTATACTTCTACATTTGTGCCAAATTAGAAAGAAATCGCAGTGTATCTTTTGGGTAGGTTTACTTGCGAGAAGCCCTTTTTAGAACTTATAAGTGTCATTTTTTGTGATTTCTGTCATTTTGAGACGCTAAATAGAGAAGACTTTTTTCCAGATGTATTAAATACATATACGGCTTTGCAACTGTTGTTAAATTCGTAAATCTTATCGGTCTATGCCGTTAGATTCTGCCAAGTTTTAGATATATCAGATATACACCATTAGATATATCAAATTCACGAATTTTACAGCAGTTGTAAAGCAGTTTCCTCTACTGAATGCAGTCAATATATCTGAAAATTCTTACCAATTTCTACAACCGAAAAGCGCAACGTTCGTTGGTAAGCAATTACAGTTGCGATTCCGATTCCGATTACAGACAACGCGTACAATAGGAAATCGACGATGTACATCGGGATCCAATAGATCCGAGTGGACATCCCGATCGCGTTGGTTTGTAGTACTTTCGAAAGTGTGTTCAGCTCTCGTATGCCCATGTCAATCGAGGGTAGAAGGAGAAACAGGGTTATTGCTATCGCCGCGTTCTCCCAAATTTTTATACTCCGCGGACTGACCATCAAGTGTTGCCGCTGTGTGAGAAGGTTATTTCAGTCCTTAGCATTCTAATGTACTGATTAATGTGTGTATATTTAGAAAATAATTCAAATATTGAACAAACAAATAAATATAAGAATCTAGATTAAGGCAAATGAGAAAAGAATATTTTAATCTCCTTTAACGAATTTTTGCTTACCTTACTAAATAAGCTAAATAATTTTTTAAACTTTCGCGTATTTAAAAATGTCATATAAGATTACTGTTCGTGCTTGGTTAGCTACGTTAAGCTTAAAAATAGCCAGTACTTGTGAAATCAGTTTACTCAATCAGGAAAAAAAAATATTCAGTAGGAGGCAGTTACTAGATATTTGAGCGTGATAATTTAGTCTAATAGCGCGAAAGAGTATAAAATTTTCCGATAATACAAGGCGCGTAGATGTTAATTTATTTAATAGTTTCGTCAGTCAATTAACGACAGAATTATTACCTGTCCCCGATTCACCAATGGCCGACTGGTCAATTTGATCGCGCGATCTTCCGACCGGGTGTGATAACGCAATAACGCGTTGTGCAATAGATTTAACGCGATCGGCCCGCTGTGCACTGCGATGGGCGAGTACATGAGTTGAACGCGTCCGTTTGAGTGCACGTCGATTGACATCACGTAACGATCTCTGAACTATCACACGAAACATTCGCTGAAGCTTGACGTAAAATTGCGGAGAATGTAAAGTCTCTACGATATACCTCTATCGAGTGCAAGTCGGGATGAATCATGAGGTCCGTGGCGGTGGTGTTTTTGGACACGTGATAATTGTGCCTATCGCTGTACGACTGACCAGTGGTGTACAACGCGACCAGGAAGTCTCTCGAGGATTTGTCGGCGGCCGCGTAATAAAGCACGTGGAGGTCATTGGTGTGTACGTAATTCGTCAGATTCATAACTCTCTCGCTACAGAAACAATGAGGAAAACGCGTTCGCTCGAGTTTCCCGGCACATTTTCCGACACAATTGAGGATCAGAGGGAAAGTACGCGGAGAATATAGTATATAGAAAGCACGGAGAAAACATTTAGTTGGATTTATCAAATTTTTTATGAAATATGAGTGAAATTCCAGTTGAAGTTATCCGAATTCTATTCATGTTGACAAGATTTCTAGTTAATTGGTACAAAATTCTGATAAGTTCAACCGAAATTTTCTGATTCCTTCATATTTCACGAAGAATTCGGTTAATCCACAACCAAACTTTTAGTATAGTAAAAATTACGTTTATATATCTCTTTTTACAATGTTTTGTGTAAAATTGGATATTATATTGAAAGAGAAAGAAGTTTTAAAAATAAATTATACTACAGAAAGGAGTTTTAAATATAAATTACTAAATAAATAAAATAAATAAATAAATAAAATATTTTAATTTTTGCATCTCGCAAATTCCGTTGAATGTTCAAGGATCAATTTCCTTCTCTGTTGGCTCTTCAAATATAACAAAACCTGCGAGATTAATGCAGACTCAATTTCCGGCTGGAAACGGCAAGTTGTATTAAACATAACACGATGTCTCGATAATATCGCGTGCCATAATTATTTAACAATATTAATTAATATTGATGTAGACATGATGTAATAAACGCTTCATAAATAATGACCGTGAATGTTAAATTGATATTTTAACGTAAGGGGATTAGTATTAAATTCATTTTCAACGTCTGAACGACACCGACTTACGTCATATCGAAAGGCACGAAACTGCTCAACTCGCTGATCATTGTGGTCAGGGTCAGAGTAACGATTGCCAGTGTCATCTGGAATTATTTTCTCAATTATCCGAATAGGTTAAGGCACTCTTCTACCTTTTCCTTTCTTTGAACAAAGGAATAAACTCACCGAATACACGTATATTCTCCAGGACGAAGCGATATGCAGCAATTTCTTATAGAACATCACGAGAACTTGCTGCCGCCGTAAAGCTTTGCCTGTTAATCGCTCCCATGTTTTAGCTAACAATGAAACTTTAGTTCAATTTACTTCGATCTAACATATAGATCTCGATTTATACAAAGATATTACATGTCCGTAATAAGTCCCGCCGTCTCTTTCGCACGATAAGCTCGTACTTGTCGTCGGGTAGTTGCACGCAGCGCTCCTTGAATTGACTCGACAAACCTATCCTAAATAGAGAACATAAATCAGCATCGCGGTATCTAATAATTGTTCCAGTTTTTGACGCTTATTTTCATATCATCGGAAGGTATGATATCATTTGATTTTAGTCTTACTGAAGAGTATCTCAATAAACATCAACTATCAGTAATATAATATCAATGTTATAACTTCCTATTCAACAATATAAATGCAATACAACGCGTGTGTTATGTAACACTTCTGTTATTGAGTAGGAAATTATAACATTAATGTAATATTAATGTTAGTTGGTGTTTTTACTAGGATGTTTTCGCTAGGTAACAATCTTATCAGGCTGAGGAAAGCATTGCTTAGTGAATCATTTTATGAATGAAAATTGCTTTTGTTATCCGAAACAGTATATCATATACTTACAAAAAACTCTATTCTAGCTAGTAACACGCTTAACTTTATTCACTCGATACAGAATAATAATATAAAATTTCGAGAGGTTCGAAAATTCACTTTGTTACTACTAAATCAATTTCTTCCTATTTTTTAACTGTAATATATTCCGATTTTATATAAAGAATTCTCAGGGAAAAGTACCTATGATCTGAAAGAATTATTCTCACACAATTTCCCCCCACTGTTCTTCTCAAAACAAATATTTAAAAAAGCAGATGAGTCTCCCCTATATTTGTGTGTGAAAATAAAAGGAATTTATTATTACAAGATGTTGTTTCATAAATGTTCGTTTGATTACACCTGAGTAATTGACTCTCGATGCTCGCGATGCTCAACGTAATCGACACGATCCCCAGTTCCTCTTTTCTCGATTCCAGACGTTGGAGCAACTTAGTGAAGCGACTGTTCCGCGGCACATCGAATCTCACTACCAAACCCATCACACTCCGCAGAGTGATCGGATCCGCCGAGAAACTCTGTATTTCCGCACGAAGTCGTCCCACATCTGCACCCTCTTGCATCAACAGGCTCAAAACGTAACCGATTCCTGGTATTGATTGTTTTTCGAATGATACGATTAATTAAGGAGAGCTTCTCACTCCTTAAGGTGAGAAATTAAATTCAATTTTTTTATTTTGTTTCTAAACTTTCATCGCTCTGACAGGAAACACGCGAGTTAGCTTTGCTATGAATTTACTACGAGTATCTGTGAGCGGTTCAAAATCTAACCATATCGACGATTTAGATACATCTTCGAGCCGTAACACTCGATCCTTCCATTTGCGATAATCGCGATCCTGTCCGCGAGGAAATCAGCGGCTTCCATGGAATTCGTTGCCATTAATATTGTTTTCTTTCTTTTAATATCCTGCAAATCGTTACTATACGTTATTTGCGAAACGGCTTCTATTGTATTTAGTATTTAGTATTGAGCAGGCCAGTATGAAGTTAGCCCCCCCCTTTTCAAATTTAATAATTTTGACAGTTGTGCTAATTTGTGCTAGGTTTGTGCTACATTGTGC